TAATTAAGGATTAACCTGAGGGCAGGTTGCCTGACTCTTCTGGCTTAAAATAAGTACTTTTTTTTTTAAGGCAGATGCATTTTGTGCCTTTATTTGATTAAGGTACTAAGTTGGTCATAATGATAAGCTTACAGAGAACTATCTGTTGCTCCCCTTGGTTTTATGCAGCTTTATAACTAGTCTTTCAACTCATTGTTTATTTGTCCAACTCACAGCTTTGCTGTTCACGTTGCATTTCTTGCCTGTTGGGTGCAGCAGGAAGCAAAAAGCTTTAAAAACCCCATGGTATACTATAGTACTTGGCAGACAGACACATTTAGCAGCTAACTGGTGAACATAGTGAAACATTTAGCAGCTAAAGAGCCATACAGTATATTTCCCTCAGGACTTGGAAAAGAACTTGCTCCGGCTGTTTTAATATAATGTAAATGCTACAAACATTAGTAAAATTTGAGCTAACAGGTTAACATCAAGACTTTGCTTTTTCCATCAGAAAGTGCAGTAGAAGAGGCCGAGAAAGGAGTGAGGTCTTGGGATGAAAACTCACTGCCATTTCCTTCTCTCCCCCAAACCTCCAGCAGGAGTACACTGGGCAGCACTCTGAGGTAAAGAAGCACACAATAAAATTAAACACTCTCCACAGACAAAACCTTTCTCTGACGATGCTGACCTTCAAATTTAGCTGAATCAAGCATACTCCTCCTATCTCTTTTGTTCTTTCTCTCCTACTCTCTCTGTGTTATTCTTACTTGCTCCTGTCTCTCATGGGGACATTAATCAATGGTCTCAGTTTGGAGTGAACTGCTGTGGTAACTTTGTCACACAGACACACACACACTGATATGTTTGTGTGTTTATATGTTTGGGGAAGGGGGGGGGGGGGGGGGTTGCCCTCTGCCTTTGAAGTGTTTGGTTAGGGATTGGGTTTGCAGTTGGGTGGCAGTGTGTGACACAGAGTGGAGGAGGGAGTGAAGGAGGAGATGAGAGGTCAGGGGGTCAGGAATTTTGTGGCTGAACCAGCGTTGCTCCATATAGCAGCAGGTTGACACAAATACCTCACACAAGTCAGGGAAGGTGTGTTTCTCAATATAAAACAAAATCCTTTTAGTCATGCCAGTTATTTCAATATGCATTAAACTGTCACACCAAAGTTTTGTTGGTTTGACACTGAATCCTGACAGCACCCACAGTGATGGTCAGTGTTTGCAACATATGTGGACTGATAATAATGTGTGGTCAACAGCAGCAGCTGTCTTCCTCTCTTCTTTCCACCATCTCCATTACATAGCTGTTGTCTCCTCTGCTCTCGGTCTTTGCCCTAGTCCAACACAGCTGTCCCCTTCCTTCATTAGCTGTCCCATAATGCTTCTCACAACCTGTGTTGGGAGGTCATTTTCAAAATACAGTACAAAGGACTCAATAGAAGTCCTACTCTGTACCTTATTTTTGCTAGATAAATGTCTTTTACAAAAGCTGCGCTAATCCAACAATGGATAAAATGTGTGTATGTAATGTGAAGGGGGTCGTTTGTGATGGTGAAGCCATCGAGAATTAACACCACATTCAATACTGTTCCCTTTAGCTCTATAGAGAATTTTAGCAGCTTGCAGCTCATTGTTTTTAAAGGCTATAACTTCACTAAATTTGGTTTAGTCCCACTACTCTCATCAGTATTGTTTTCAGCCGCATCAAGCAGCAAAATATCTGGCTGGTGAACATATTGTCCTTATGTTTGTTTTTGTATTTGTTGTCTTTTAGCTTCCAGTTGTAAGTGCTGGCTATATAACCTCAATTCAAAATGGTCCCGATCAGTTTACAGACAAAATTTCTCAAAGCTGGGACCACATGTCCTTATGAAGAGGTCACATGGCCTGACAGCACAATATTCTATCAGTAGTGTGTGTGTGTGTGTGTGTGTGTGCGTGCATTGTATGCATTGTCCCTTTAGAAAGTCACTTGTTAAACCGTTTAAACTTATCTTGCTAAATTTCTTTAACATTACATTTAGCCTCCGGCTCTGTGCTGACTCATGACATGTTACACTGAATGGATGCACTCAGTTTGTAAGTTATTACCTGTTCAGTTGCTGAAATAGAAACTCTTGCTGACTCATGCACACACACACACACAGACACACACGCCCCTCACTGTTACACTCCCATAAAAGACTAAAAAGCTTTCTGGTGTTGTATTTTCAGCACGTAGAGCTGAGCTGAGTTAATGGCAGTAAAGTGCCAAATCAGAGAGCAGCAGCGAACTCCCACTTGTTAGCCCACCGTGGGACTCAGATGGTGGGGCAGGGAAGTTCCTGTAAAGAGAAAGAAGACCTGAATGAAATAAAGATGTGTGTATGCACACGCACTTCTCTGCCAGCATTACTCAGTCCTCCTACTGTTTTTCCATAGCAACAGAGCACACAGCAGAGCAGTGTGGGTGACTTAGATGTAGTTTAGTACTTAAATAATTAGTAAATTGATCAAATTACTTCCTGAGGGGAAAAATAACTGAACAATTTAAATGCCCTGACTGTACCTCAGGACAGGTAAATGCCAACATAGGGTTGCCAATGCTCAAGGATCAGCTAGGAGACTCCTGGAATTTATTTAGCACTCCCGGAAAAATCAGAATTCAATCCTGGAGATTTTTGGTGTATTTAAAATGCCGATTGAACACATGGATGTAAAATCCCAAGAAAGTTTTAAACAGAAGGCAACTCCAGGGGACCAATAAAGTGAAAGAAACTGAAACTGCACAATTATAATTAAATGAATTTAGGCTACTTATACTGAAAAATACTATGTTTTTTAGGACTTTTGCATTGGCAGTCTTTTGCTTCACTTTGTTGTTGTTTGGTGCCGAGGTACTGAAGGGACAATTCCTGGACAGTGCACTATGAATGCTGTCATCCAAATGGTTTTGGATGACAAATGGGTTGTTTTCATATTTTAATGATATGAAAGATCAGAGTTGTCTAACTTGTGGCTGCACCTCTATCTATCTGAACTCGGTAATGTCTGTGTTAATCCCTCGAACATGCTCTGAGTGCTCCCCACCCACTCTCCACCAACACAAAAAATGAATAATAATTTTAAAAAATCCCAGATTACTGGCAGACAGAGTTGACAACCCTATGCCAACATCAGCATGCTCACAATGACGATTCTGCTATGTTGATGTTTAGCAGGTATTATATTTACCATGTTAGCATGCTAGCTTTCTCTGATTACCATTTAAACCCAGAACAGCTGAGGCTGATAGAAAGCATGAATGTGTTTACCAAATTCCATAGCAATCCATGCAATTGTTGTTGCGATATTTCATCCAAAACCACAAATATGAACCTCATGTTTGTAGCAGGGGAAAACTCAGGTGATTACCTAAGTCATGAGGAGACCTCCTCTGGATCTTGTCAAGATATTTTATGTTGGGCCAAGCGACTGACTGACGTTGCCTATTTTAGAGCATGGCTAAAAATGTGAGAAATGTGCTTGTCCAAGCTTTTCAAATGCAAAGATGTGCTGCTTTTGTATTTTTCTTTCTTTTTTTGCCATTTTAAATGTAATACTGGGAGGTTGAGGGGATGATTTCAATATCATGAAATCTCCCGGACACATTTTAAATAAATTTTTTTAACTGATGATACAGTGAGAAAAAAAATCATTTTTTAACTTCACTTCCAAACAGCTTGGACTTTCCACTCAGTCTCTCCCTGCTTTCTGTTACCTGCTGAC